CTTGGGCGCTGAGACGCGTTCGGCCCACGGCGCTGGAAGAGTTCATCGTTGGCCCCCTTTCGAGGCTGACCGGCGCCGCGCTGGAAACGCCAAGAGCTACGACGAGCAGCAGCACCTCGACCTAGCATCGAGCCTGTATGAGCGCGCGGCGTCAAGGGCCCCCATCAGCGAATGCAGCCACCCTATGGTCCATGGACGTGCCGCTGGTATCGGATGTCTCTCCTAGCGGGCCTACCCAGTGTCAATCTCGACCTCTGCAGCCCCCTGAGCAGCGCCGACGGGACCTCACCGACAGGGCTACCTGCTGGCAGAACGACTGGCTGCCGCCCCTGCACGCCAATACTCCGTGCTTGGGCTTCCAGAAGTCGATTGGCGCATGTGGGGGGCGCCCTTAGGCGCGGCGGCTTCGAGCCGCCGTTCGGCATTACTGGCGGCCCCCTTGCCCGAGACTTGTCGTCGGAAGGGCTACGAGACGAGATGGCCCAGGAGATCTGCTTGGCGGGGCGGCATGGGCCTGCCGCCCCCCGAGAGCAACTCCACCAACATTTGCTTGGGCCTTGGTCGCGCAATGGATGGAAGCGGCCGGAAGCTCTGTGGCTTCGAGCTCCAGGACATCTCCGCCAGCAGGTGGGCTCAGGACCCTGCGCGAATGCGATGGACCGAGCGCAAAGACTTCGCGTGGGATCGCTCCCATCGACGGCACGATGTCCTGCTTCTACTTTATCCTGATAGGTTCCTCCACCCGAGCCTGGTTCCATCGCCTCCTGGCCCTGGCCTCGATCTCCCCGATAAAATGCGCCATCGGATCATGCAATCGCTCGCTGGTGCCCACGAGCATCTTCCTGACGAAGACGACAGCAGCATATATCATCCTGGGTACCCAGTGCCCACCGAAGTCGGCCGGACACTACGGAAGAGACGCACTCCGACGCTCAAGCAGGCGCGCCAGTCGCAGAAGGAGCCGCAGCCGGCCAAATTGATTTTTTGGGGGGCTACGCCATGGATGAGGGGGGATTCCCGTGCCATCCCGGGCAGGCTACGGAAGCGGAGCTATTTGATGACGAGGCGGCGCCCGACGCTCATGTTGACCATCTGGTCGCTCTAGCAGAGGAAGTCAGTCTGTCCCCCGTTCGCGCGGAGGACCACGATGACGCCCCGCATCATGCGGCTGGACCTTCGGCTGGCTTTGGAGGTTGAGCTACCCCTCCTATGGGACCTCCCACCTCGTCGTCCTCGGCCTCTTCTGGCAACTTCAGAATCACGATGGCCCTTTATGGGTCCTCAGTCCTCTACCCGAATGGCTCAGTAGGCGGCGCCTTAGCAATGCCAGCAGTTCGAGAGCCAGTGCCGACGACTTCACCTGCTGCGGAAGCTCTTGGAGGCCCCAACTAGCAATTCCATGGGCTCTCTCAGGACGCCCCAGCTGCACTGCAAGTGCCTGTTCATGCGCTACGACGGGAGCGCGCGGGCCAGGGCGCGCACCCCTCGTCGCCGCCCTGCAGGTTCTCTGTTTCGTCTCGTGGCCGCGGCAACGGCGGCGGCAACATCTCGGCCAATGGCGACCCGCTTGTCCCGCCTGGGCCACGCGAAGTGGCGACGGTGGCGGGCGGTTCCCCCGCGACGCCGCATTGGCGCACTGTCGATAGGTCATGGGTCATGCTTTGTTGACTTTCCGTTCTCGTGCATGAAGGAGCTCCTGCCGCTCTACAATATCTTAAGTCGCCTGGGATAGCGACGGAGCAAGCAGTTCCCGTGCATGGTGGAGCGCATGCTGATCTTCTGTCTCTTATTTTGCCTGGAGGTGCGACGGAGGTGGGGGCGCTCCCCGCGATTTGAACAGGACTGGCAGCCCTCGTGGATGATGGGCCTCACGCTGTCCATCTGGCCGCCTCGTCTCTCGGCGATGCGACTATAGTGGGTGCGTCCCCCGCGACCTCGCGCGGGCACGTCGGCATCTGGCCCGATGGTTCCCGGAGCGCACCTCTGTCTGCTACGTCGCCCCGGGGGGGGCGACGGAGGCGACGGGGGCGGGGGCGGCTCCCGCGACCTCGCATGAAGGGGCCGCGGTGTCGCATGGTGCTGTTCTGGCTTCTGGGAATGATCGCGCGGCAGATGCCCCAGAGGTTTCGCGAGGCATTGCTGCTGCGGCCAACGTCGCCACAGGGGAATCAGCCCTTGCAGGCATGCAGGTCGGGAACGGGGATTCAGCCTCCGCCCGTTCCCAAGCCCCCAAATCTCGCTGGTATGAAGCCCTTGGGGCCACTCCCTGCGGCTGCTACCGATCCAGACATGAGCCGCGGCATCGTCGTCGACTTTGGGGGCGCGGACGCCGCCGCCTCCACCTGCCTGGCCACGAGCAACCACGGGATGGGGGACTTCCGCGCGACTTCGCAGGCACCTGCTGCCCCCGTGCCCGAAGGGTCTCTTTGTGTTCCACGGTCTTCTACGTCGCCCGGGGCTGCGACGGAGGCGGGGGCGTCGCCCGCGAGATTGCTGGCGACCCTTTCCTGAGGAGGCCCACGCTGTTCCAGCGTCCTCTACGTCGCCTGGGCAGCGACGGAAGCGGGGACATCTTCCGCGATCCCCCCATCGTCGCGAAGGATTTGCTCACGCGATTGGGTGCGATTGCGCGGTTAACAAAGGCTGGCGGGCGGCCGGGCCATGACGCAGACCACGGCATCACAGGAATTGAGCCCTTGCACGAGATCGGCTCGGGAGCGGGGATTCAGCCCCCGCCCGACCTAGCGCGCCCCGGCCTCTGCGGACGATGCCAGCTGCGGCACGCCAGCTGCAACATCACGCGCGCAATGAGCGGCGACGACCGCGCCATGGCGAGCGAGGCGGGCCCCCCCGTCGGCGCGGGCGACGCGTGCATGGGCGCCCCCGCCCTGCATCCTGCCGCCGCTCCTGACCAAGAGCACCTCGGCACCGACTACATCGACGACCTCGAGGGCGCGCACTCTGTCGTCTCCAACTTTCAGACCACGGTCGCCCGCCAGGCGATTAATGGCGGGTGCCGCAGCGGCCGCGGCGCCTAGTGCGGCGAGGGAGAATTCGTGCACTGGGGACGATGATCGCTCCTCCTCCTCCTCCTCCTCCTCCTCCTCCTCCTCCTCCTCCTCTTCTTATTCCTCCCTTCCTTATTGTCATCCATATCCTGTTCTCATGAGGCATTCATTTCAGTCGTATCGCATGAGACTCATCACCAGATTCGGTCCTGAAGCTTGTGAATTGCAGCGGTTTTGTGGATGAAGGGCGGACCGTCTCCGAACTGTAGGTATCGTCGCAACGCCGCACCTGCTCGTCTCTGAAGTGTTTGCAACAGCTTCGCGGGTGGAGGTCGAATCGTTTTCACAATGTGGTTGTCGCAGCAGCGCCACGCACATTCGCTTCCGGCTCAAGGATGGACGTCGGGCCGTCTTCAAAATGTGGCTGTCGCCTTAGCGCCGCGCGCACTCGCCTCAAAATATTGCAGCAGTTTCAGGGGTGGAGGGCGCGCCGATTTCAGCATGCAGCTCTCGTTTTAGCGCCGCGCGCATTCGCCTCACAAGCTTGCAGCAGCTTCAAATTCGAATGAAGGGTGGCTGTGTTTCAATATGTTGCTCTCGTTCGTTTTAAACGTTTGCAGCGATGTCAGGGGCTCGCACGGCTGAAGCCCCAAGAACGGCGTTACGGCACGGTTTTGGATTGTCGGGGCGAAAGGGTCATGTTGATATCGCGGTGTGGAAGCCCCAAAATGGCAGTACGGCGCGGCTTTGGATTGGCAGGGCGCAACAGTCATTTAGGTTCGCGGCGTTGACGTCCTAAGAATGATAACGCTGGGACGATTGAAGATTCTCGGACGGCTGTTACCTAACAGCGAAGACTGATAGGTTTCTAATGGGGTCAAAAGAGAGCATCTGATGACTCCCCAGGGGGGTCTGGGCGGGAGCCGGACAGGCGAGTGCCAGGCTCGTTTTAAGCAAACAGTCACACACTTCGTGCTCTTCGACCTCCCAGAACACCATTCCCGGGCCACATTTTGAATGCCCGGAGCCAACTGTAGGCCACTTCGTGCTCTTCGACTTCCCAGAACTCCATTCCCGGGCCACATTCTGAATGCCTGGAGCCAACTGTAGGCCACTTCGTGCTCTTCGAGTTCCCAGAACTCCATTCCCGGCCACTGAATGCCCCAACTGTAGGCCAGTTCCCAGAACTCCACTCCCGGGCCACATTCCCGGAGCCAACTGTAGGCCACTTCGTGGTCTTCGAGTTCCCAGAACTCCATTCCTGGGCATGATTTTGAATGCCCGGAGCCAACTGTAGGCCACTTCGTGTTCTTCGAGTTCCCAGAACTCCATTCCCGGGCCACATTTTGAATGCTGAGGCAGGCTGATGCTGAGGCTGAGGCAGGCTGAGGCTGAGGCAGGCTGAGGCTGAGGCCGAGGCTGAAGGCAGACTGAGGCTGAGGCTGAAGCAGGCTGAGGCTGAGGCTGAGGCAGGCTGAGGCTGAGGCTGAGGCAGGCTGATGCTGAGGCAGGCTGAGGCTGAGGCTGAGGCTGATGCAGGCTGAGGCTGAGGCAGGCTGAGGCTGAGGCCGAGGCTGAAGGCAGACTGAGGCTGAGGCTGAAGCAGGCTGAGGCTGAGGCTGAGGCAGGCTGAGGCTGAGGCAGGCTGAGGCTGAGGCTGAGGCAGGCTGAGGCTGAGGCTGTGACTGCGACTGCCGTTGCCACTGCGACTGTCATCGCGAATGCGACTACGACTGCGAGAACAGCAGAATTCTACAACTGGATTCTCATCTGAATCTTAAGGGGAATGCTTCTAGATATGCTCCTACACATCGCTGTTAGGTTGCTTTGCCGGGATAATTTTCCAATGGGGCAATTTCAATGGGAAGTATGGGGTTCACGAAGAGGAAGCTTTGAAGGAGGGTTTCTTGCAACGTCGTTGATGCGCCTTGGTTTTACACTGGTCCACGCCCTCGTCATCTTCCTCCTCTTCCTCCTCCCCGGCGCAGCGAGGCGAAGGAAGCGGCGCGCAGGGCCGCGAAGGAGGAGGAGGAGGAGCAGGAAAAGAAGAAAGACAAGGAGCGCGAGACCGAGCGGCACCGCGCGGCGGCGGAGGAGGAGAGGCGCGGGGCGGCGGAGGGGGAGGAGCAGCTCGCGGCGGAGCGGCGCCAAGAGGAGGAGCGGCGCGTGGCGGAGGAGATGAAGCGGCAGGCGGTGGAGGAGATGGAGCGGCGGCGCGCGGCGGACCGGCGCCGCGAGGAAGAGCGGCGCGCCGCGGAGGAGATGAAGCGGCAGGCAGCGGAGGAGATGGAACGGCGGCGCCGCAAAGAGGAGCGGCGCGCGGTGGAGGAGCGGGGCGCGGCGATGGAACGCCAGGCGGCGGAGCAGGAGGACCGGCGCGCGTCGGCGGGTTGCACTCGCACGACGAGGGAGGGAGGAGGGAGGGGGCGGGAGGCTGGCTGAACGCCCAGGGGGCCGACTTTGAGAGCCGCGGAACAGGGCCTCGGAGAATGCCCGTCGGCGGCAGGAGCCTCGTGGACGGCCTGGACGGTCTCCATGCTACATCACCCCGGCGCCTTGTCGAGGGAGGGGGGCGAGCGGCAAGCCACAGGACGAATGGAAATTCCACCAGCACAAGTCAGCGGGCTGTGCCATGCGCCGCCCCCAAGCAGGCCGGCAACTTACTGTAAATATGTGCGTGGCGCACAGGCGAGTGGAGCGGTACGCGCCTCGCGCCCCTCAGCTATCACACATATTGCCACGTGGGTTCCAGGATTTCAACACGAAAGCGAAAAACATCCATGCTGAGTAGTGGGCAGGGCGTCCCGTTTTGGCTTGTTTCGATGCGAGGACGAGGGGAGGGGGTACTTATTCACAGCACGTAAGGATACGGGGGGAGGAGTTGGAACGGAAGGAGGATAGGGGGAGACAACGACAGACGAGGAGGACGGATGCTGGATAAAGTCGGATCAAGAGGGGCGAAGAGGAGTGGAAAAAAGGAGAAGTGAGGGAGAGGAAGAGGTAGAGGTAGAGTGAGAGGGAGAGGGAGAGCTAGAGGGAGAGGGAGAGGGAGGGAGAGAGAGAGAGAGGGAAGGAGAGGGAGAGGGAAGGAGAGAGAGAGAGAGGGAGACGAGCCGAATCGGACCGCGGGTCCAGGCGCCGCCTGGCAAGCAGGGCGTGAGCCTAGCGCTTGAGGATGGCGTTGCAGCTGATCCACGTGGAAGCGAGAGACAGAGAGAGAGAGAGAGAGACAAAAAAAAAGGAGAGAGAGAGAGAGAGAGAGAAACAAACAAACATTATGTTTTTATTCTCCTTTCTAAAAAGAGAATAGACTCACCCCCCCGGACTTATCGCTTCCCCTTGGGATAATATAATGTCATATATATATATATGTATATATATATACATATATATATATATATATATATATATATATATATCTGCATACTCGTCCATCCTAAATATGAAATCATACCATCCCAGCCAGGCCGGGTTCCACCCCCCTGAGGTTCCCTTGTAAAAAAACACTATGCGGTGACATGTTTTGTTCTAGCATAACACTTTTTCACGAATCGCTTGCAAAAAATGGGACGAGGTGCACACGCGCGCGCCGTCGCGCGCGCATGCCGAAATCCTTCAAAAACCTTCGGTGCCGGAAGGATTGCGCAATCGAGTTTCCAAAACACATACAAAAACACGTGGTTTCGCAACACTGATTTGCTAAAACAGTTTCCGCGCGAGCTCTTGCGAAATCTTAGGAAAACCATAGGTGTTTCAATATTTTCACAACATTCTACCAAACGGGCTTCGCGCGCGCGCATGTCGAAATCTGTCGAACGCCCTTGCGCGTGTGCCGTCGCGAGAATCCTCTGCAAAGAATGGGACGAAGTGCAGACGCGCGCGAAGTCGCGGGCGTATGCCGAAATTCTTCAAAAACCTTCGGTTTCGCAAGGATTTCAAAATCGTGCGTCCAAAAAACTTACAAAAACCCAAGGAGTCTCAACACGGGTTTTCAACAAAAGCGTGCGCGCGCGCTTTTGCGTCGTCGTCGTCGTCCTCCCTCCTCCCTCGTCGTCGTCGTCGTCGTCGCCGTCGTCGTCTTCTGTCTTTCCTCGTCGTCGTCGTCGTCTTGGCGTCGTCGCTTCCGTCGTCGTTGTCGCCGTGGTCGTCCTTCCTCCCTCGTCGTCTTCGTCGGCGTCTCGTCGTTGTCCCTCCTATTTCGTCGCCGTCGTCGTCGTCGTCGTCGTCGTGGTCTTCACTCCTCCCTCGTCGTTGTCCTCCTCCCTCGTCGTCGTCGTCGTCGTCGTCCGTCTCGTCGTCGTCCCTCCTATTTCGTCGCCGTCGTCGTCGTCGTCGTTCGTCGTCGTCGTCGTTGTCGTCGTCGGCGTCGCCGTCCTTCCTCCTTCTTCGTCGTTCGCGTCGTCGCCGTTTTCCCTCCTACGTCGTTGTCGTCGTTGTCGTTGTCGCCGTCGTCGTTTTTTCTCCTCCCTCGTCGTCGTCTCCGTTGGCGACGTCGTCGTCGTCTTCGTCGTCGTCGTCGGCGTCGGCGTCGTCGTCGTCTTCGTCGATGTCGACGTCGGCGGTGTCGTCGTAGTCGGTGTCTGCGGCGCCGTCGTCGTCGTTGTCGCTGTCGTCGTCGGCGTCGGTGTCGTGGCCAAGTGCCATGTGGTACATACCGTCACGGTCTTGTCTTAAGAAGTCTTGCGACCAAGTTGCGGGTGGGAGGGTGGGATGTATGCACGAGCAGTAGAGAGGATAGCTTCAAGACGGTCAAAGTGAATTCCCTACCTAGGCTCTGCCTAGAAGGGTTCTTACTCTCTGGGCTTAAAGGGGCCGGGCAGTGGAAAGCGCCCCGGGCGGTTCCCCCAGTATCCGCCCCGCGGTTCCCCCAGTTACGTCCCCTTAGCTTAGCGTTGCGTATCTCATCTCAGCTTAGCTAATTTCATCTTAGCTTAGCTTAGCTTAGCTTTATCTTAGCTCAGATTTATCTTAGTTTAGCGCACCTTCATGCTAGCTTCGCTGAGCTTTAGCATAGCAGAGCACAGCATAGCATACCATAGCGTAGCATAGCATAGCGCAGCACAGCATATAATAGCATAGCCCAGTATAGCATAGCATAGCGCAGCATAGCATAGCATAGCATAGCATAGCATAGCGCAGCACAGCACAGCACAGCATAGCACAGCGCAGCATAGCATAGCATAACAGAGCAGAGCATAGCATAGCATAGCCCAGCATAGCATTGCGCAGCATAGCAGAGCAGAGCAGAGCAGAGCATAGCAGAGCATAGCATAGCATAACATAGCGCAGCACATCATCCACTATTGCTGCTACAACTACGACGATGAGGAGAAGGAGTAGGACGGCGTTTACCGCTCCTACGAATGTTGCTTTCCTAGAGGCTCCAACTCCTAGGTAGGGTCGCACTGGGATAATCTACATATATATATATATATATATAAAGAAGAGAGAGAGAGAGAGAGAGAGAGAGAGAGAGAGAGAGACCCGACGTGCAGGGAACACGACAGTGTGGTGGGAATGGCGCCCGAGCGCCAGGCAGCGGAGGCCTACCGGGGCACCCGTGCGGGGAGGGGCCGAGGGCACGCGCGGGCACGGCGACGCTGTGCGCTCGAGTCTGGGGCGGAAAAAGCCGCCCAGGCACCTAAGGCCAAGGCCTGGATGGACCTCCTCGCGTGGTGCCCGTCGCGGGAAGTGTCGGGGCCTGCCCGGGCACCCGAGGCCCAGGCGGCGGGCTCGACCCGCTGCCGGACGCAGGAGCGAGAGCACCGAGGAGCGCTCGGGGGGCAGCCAAGAGTTCCGATTGCTTTCGCGTCTCGGCCGCTGGGGCAGCCTGAGCGACGGCCAGCCCTGGGGCGTCGACGGCCGTCTGGTCGAGGACCTCGTCGCACTGTCGTTGGAGGGCCTGAGTGCGCTGACGGAGGACCCTCTCGTAGGCTTGGGCGGCGTGGTTGTGTTCCCTGAGACCTTCGACGGGCAGTGGATCAGAAGTGGGTGGGCGTGGCACCGCAGCCGAGGCCCAGTAGAGGCCAGTGCGCGCGGCAGGCGCTTGCGAGTACGCCAGCCCGTGACGCCGCCAGTGGGGCGCGCGGTCCCGCGGCGGTGGGTGTGATGAGGTTGAGAGTGGTTGGCGACCCGCTGCGCTTGGCAAACAGGGGCGCGGGTGTGTTCGTGGGCGGCCCCGAGACGGTGCAGTGGGCCTCGCCCGTGCAGGGCCGCCAGTGGGCAACGCTGCGGCCCTTGAGGGGGAGCTGGGGCGGGGCGGGGCGGGCGACGTCTCGCCAGGATTGTCGAGATCGCTGCCGAGCCCGAAAGGCCTTCTCCTTGTCGTGGTGGAGTTGCGGGCGTGGCTGGGAGCCGTCGTGCGGGGAGCGAAGGTCGCAGGTGGCCGAAGTGTCGGCCTCCTTGAGCCATGCAGCGTGGACCTTGCCTCCGTCGTTTGCTCGCGCGCGTTGCGCCCAATATTTCATGCGGGCGGCCTTGGCCTGCCGAACCCGGCAGTAGACCGTCGAAGAGTTTGGAGATGCGCTCACCGGCGGGGAGGTCCGCCACAGCCCTCGGAGGCCGCGCAATGGGGGCGATAAGAGGGGGGGGGGGTGGGCGGCGAGGGTTGCAGAATCGGTGTCCTTCAGGGCCCCGAAGAGTGGCCCATTCCGGGCCCGGAAGGGGGACTGTAGGGCCCTTGAGCCCAAATAATTGTTAGGAAAGCGAAAGCGAAAGCGAAGCTCCCCCGAAAAAGTTAATAGTTAAGAAAGCGAAATCGAAAGCGAACCGCTCGGAAAAAGTTGATAGTTTCGCTTTGAGGTGTCGCGGGGACAGTAATTCGCGCCCAGAGCTTGGAGATGCGCTCACTGGCGGGGAGGCCCGCCACGGCCCGCTCGGCAGGCGGGCAGGACGAACCACGCGGGCCAGCGCGGCGTGGCCGAGCTGCAGGCGGCCGCCCGCGTGCAGCGAGCTCGGCCGAAGGCCTCCGAGAGGCCCCCAGGGAGCTCCCAGGAAACCCCAAGTAGCCCAAGAGGGCTCCAAGAGGCGTTCTCCTCCTCCTCCTCCTCCTCCTCCTCCTCCTCCTCCTCCTCCTCCTCCTCCCCCTCCCCCCTCCTCCTCCTCCTCCTCCTCCTCCTCCTCCTCCTCCTCTCTCCTCCTCCTCCGCCTCCTCCTCCGCCTCCCGCTCCTCCTCTTCCTCCTCCTCCCTCCTCCTCCTCCTCCTCCTCCTCCTCCTCCTCCTCCTCCTCCTCCTCCCTCCTCCTCCTCCTCTCCTCCTCCTCCTCCTCCTCCTCACTCCCTCCTCCTCCTCCTCCGCCTCCTCCTCCTCCCCCTCCCCCTCCTCCTCCTCCTCCTCCTCCTCCTCCTCCTCCTCCTCCTCCTCCTCCTCCTCCTCCTCCCTTTTCATTCTTCTCCTCATTATCCTCTTCCTCACGTGTTCCCCGACAGGTTTCAACGACCGCCTGCCGTCGTCGGATTCATCACAGCTCGGCGCCCAGGGTGTGGGCCTGTCGGCGCAGCTCTGGTCCAACCCAGGAGCAGTGCGGTCTGCTCCGCCGTGGTGAGCACCCGCGCCCGGAGGGGCGTGCCCCACCTCGCACCGAGGGGTCCGCGCGCGCAGCGTGGGGGGCGCGCGGCGGCGGCGCTGCGCCCGTCGGGGGCAGCGACGAGGGGGGCCACGGGCGCCCCCCTGCGGGGCCCCCGGAGTGCCGCCCCTCCCCCGGGTGGTGCCCCCGAGCTTCCAACCTGGCCGCGGCCCCAGAGAGCTCGGCGCTCGTCAGGGAGGGTCAGCGAGGCCATTGGTGGGCGGGGGGCCAGTTGTTGGAGCCGTTGCGCAGGCTGGGCCGTGAGGCTGAGGTCCAGCGAGGCCCGCAGACCAAGGGGCTGCTTGGCGGGGAACTCCCGAATGAGGGCAAAGTTGGTGACTGGGTGCCTGGCGGCGTGCTGGCAAAGACGTAGTCGATGCACGTGGCGCCCGCTTCGTGTGTAGAAGGGCCCCAGTCTTCACCAGCGTCGTATGCGCAGGCGTGATCGCCTGGGAATCGCATCGCCACGTTGACCCACCCATGCTGGAGCATGAGGGTGAGGAAAGCCGAGTCGGTGATGTCAGCGTCAGATCCCCACACTGACGAAGCATGGTGCTGTGCCGATTCGCGCAGCTTCCTCCCATCCCTGACAGAAGTCGGCCGCGTTGTCGGTGATGGCCAGTCCGTACACCGGGGTGTGGAATCCATTGGTACGTTGGCTTTGGGCGCGGACAAAGTCTTCCGCGCAGCGCGCTGCGCGGCTCAGGGCTTGAACAGCACGGCGCGCTGGGCCTCCTGGACCACAGCACGCTGGACAGCAACACAGACGCCGCTTCGCTCAAGGCACGGGGGAGTGGCCCAGTGGTCGGTGCCCCGCCGCGGGCTTTGCGCGTGACCCTGCCCACGGAAGGGGGAGACCCACACTGGGATCCAGGCTCAGTTCTCTCGGGGGCGGGGCGCGCGGCGGTCGTACACTGCGTGGCGGCGGGCGGGCTGACCGGTCTCCTGACAGGCGACCGCGGCGACGTCCGCGCCGTGTTCGGAGAACGGCCCAGTTGGCGCCCGGGCTGGTGGCGTCGAGGTTGACCAGGGTGTGGGTGCCGCTGTTGGGCCTATCACCGTGGCAGCTGCGAAGGTCAGCTCGTCGTGACCGTGGCAGGCCCAGCTGTGGTTGTGCGGTCGCGCGGGATTCGCCCAATGGCGCGTCGGCGCGAGCCTCTGGCCAGCCCACCTGGTGGCACCACGGCTCGAGCCTTTGGCGGACCGGTCTGGCCCGTGCTTCCATGCGAGGCGTGCGCCGACCCCCGGCTGTGGGCGAGGTGACGGAGCGGCAGCTCCGTCTCGGGATCGGTGTAGTTAAGCGACACGGGGTCCTCTCGGTGTAGTTAAGCGACACGGGGTCCTCTGAAATGAGTGGGTCCAGAGGCGGTGTGGGTCCGATTTGGGACGACGGCTGGGAGCCGAGCCAGGGCCGTCACAGTCGGCTTGGCATCGCTCGGACGTGTGCATTTTTCCTCCGGCGAGGACCATCGAGGAGCATCCTTGATCATTTGGCGAAAAAACCACGCACAAAACCCAAGAAACACAGGAAATGGACGTCCGAGCGATGGCCAGTCGGGTGGGAGGTACCAAGACGCACGGCGTGTCGAAGAGTGTCGAGGCCTGGCCTGGCACGTTGGCGGGAGCTCTTGGCGAGGCAACCTGGTGGCACCACGGCTCGAGCCTTGGCGGACCAGCCTGGCGTGGCTCCTCGGTTTAGCCTTTGGCGGACTGGCTTGGACCTGTGCTCTACGACACGCGCGAGCCATACATCGCATGCTGGTAGGCGGGGCGATGGGTCGCCAGCTCAGTCACAGTGTCGGCGTGTGTCTGCAACACGAGATCGTAGCGGAGCGGTGTCGCCGTGTCGCAGTCGCAGTCGCAGTGTCGCAGTAGCAGTCAACAGTCGCAGTGTCGCCAGCGGGCGGGTGTGAAAACGGAGCGGATTCAGCTCTAGAACGTCGTTTGAGGGCCGAGTCAGGGTCGCCACAGTAAGGTGGAAAGTGGTAAGACTTGGCCTGGCCTGTCGGCAGGGTCGCCGGGCGAGCCCGCCTGGTGGCAGTGACGCAGTCCTCCTCAGTCTCAGGATCGGCGTGCGAGTGCACCACGGTATCTTCTCAGATGTTATGTTATATAATATGTTTATGTGTATTTATACACATGTAGACCGATCCAGGTATGCATAGAAAGAGAGAGTGTAAAAAAAGAGAGAGAAAGAGAGAGAGAGAGAGAGAGAAAGAGAGAAAGAGAAACAAGGGAGGACGAGGAGGAGGAGAAGGGCCAGGAGTGGGATCAACATGTAACCGAATAGTTTTGCGAAACTTTGTTCAAGCGAGTCCAGTTGCAGGTAGAGAACCTTGGTCGCACAGCGGCGGTAGCAGGCATATTGTGACCGATGAGCGGGATAGAGCAGGAAGCAGCAGGTGGAGCAGAAGGCGAAGAAGGAGGAGGAGCAGGGAATTAAATCATGGCATGCGTTGGCTCGGCAGTCGGCAGACGCTTCAGTCGAGCAGCACAAACGGCGCGGAAGGAGGGTGGGGAGGAAGAGGAGCGAGCTGATGATGATGATGATGATGATGATGATGATGATGATGCTGATGCTGATGCTGATGCTGATGCTGATGCTGATGCTGATGATGATGATGATGATGATGATGATGATGATGATGATGATGATGATGATGATGATGATGATGATGATGATGAGGTGGAGGAGGAGGAGGTGCAGGAGGAGGAGGAGATGGAGGAGGAGGAAGGAGGAGAAGCTAGGAGTAGTACGAGCCAAGATGGGGCAGCAGAAGCCATGAGGATGAGAAGTGCTTTGAGGGCGGCGTGGGCAGCTCGGGGCCATCCCCGAAGCCAGGAGCGACGGCGGAGGGCGGCCCAGGACGCCTTGAGGGAGGCGGCTGCTCAGAGCGACATGGAGAAGATAACCGCCGCGATCCAAGAGGCTGGCCACGAGCAAAAGGATTCGGGGCTCTGGCATGCTCGTGCCACATCCTTAAGATCCTGGCGCTGCATGCTTTTCGCAACGGACGTTTGCGCCCAGTTTCGGCCTTCGGGTCCCTCACAGATCGATCCGGCTCGAAAAATCATGCAGGAAGATGCGATTTAGGGATCTGTTCGTGATTTTTGTCATTTTTCAGTTTTCTCGCAACATCAGATCTCGGGGATCGGCGCGGCGGCGGCGCTAGCGCAGGGGCGCAAGGCTGAAGGCCCCGCGGCGGCCTCAGAGGACCCGTAGCAGCGGAGGCTGCGCTCAAGATGAAAAGGTCTGCGCGGTGGCAGTATTCAGAGCCGACGCCGTCGTGGTACCAAGAGGCTCGGCCTGCCACCACCCCTGCAGTGGAGGCTGTGCGGAGCAGGACATGTCAGCCGGCCGCTCACATCTAAGAGGCCCTTGCCTTACGCATTACAAGCTCGACCCTTTAAGTGTTGTGCCTTCTGCTCGTCGCTGAAAAGGGCCGGGCCTCGGGACTGGCAGACGGCGACGCTGACATGAAGGCCGCCAGAAGGAGATCGGGACGATTGAAAAGGGTACCGAAAGAATGGGCACAAAGACCGACCGCATTTCCTGATCATTTTGAACAGGGCTCGCTGCCGGTGTCGCTGCGTGCGTTGTCCATTTGAAGCAGAAGGCCGCATGCCCAATAGCGGCCGCTGTCGGTCTTGGACAACATTTGTTGTTGGGCATTACACCCACTGTTTGCGTACCATTTCGGGCGTCCAAAGGAGAGGGCATGACTTGATGGTGTCTGCTATCGACGCTGGAATCAAGGCGCAGAGGGAGAAGAGTAATCAGGCCGCGCTGATCCTCCTCCTGCTCCTGTTCCTCCTCCTCCTCCTCCTGCTCCTCCTGATCCTCCCCCTCCCTCCTCCGTCCTGTCTCCTCCTTCTCCTCCTCCCTCTCCTCCTCCTATTCCCTGCTTGTCTTCCCCACCTTCTCCACCTTCCCCCTCCTCCTCCTCCTCCTCCTCCTCCTCCTCCTCCTCATCATCATCATCATCATCATCATCATCATCATCATAGTAGTAACTTTAGTGGTGTGTGCCGAGGGGAGATGAGGGGCCGCGCGGCCATCGGTTCCCTTTTGCAGTTGGCACGCGAAGTAAAAAAAAGGGCACCAAGATGGTAGACAACCTCGACCCTATGACTTGTGCTACAGCTTACTAGGGGCCTGCAAGCCGCCGCCGCTCGATTCCCGTCAAAGCTCTCGCGCGGCGCCTCGCAGGCCGCAGTGGCCACAGTGGTGTTTGTGTGTGTGTGTGTGTTTGTGTGTGTGCCGTGCCCGCGCCTCCGCGCCCATCCTGCTCTTGCGAGTGTTCGCCAGGCATCACTTTGAGCTGTCCACCCCTTGCGGGCGACGCCGAGGCGTCGCGGGCCATCTTCGCCTGCAGGAAGGGCCATCTCGTGCGCTTCGTCCTCGGAGTGGTGGCAGGGGTGCCCCTCGTCCCCGCCATCCTGGGTCGGTGGGCAATGCTCGGTCATTTTGGCGGGCCTTTCGGCAGCCCTGCTGCCGGCGTGAAGCCTGGGCCGCACGAGCCGACGGCGGAGCATTTGAAGGCGATCGCGGCGCAGCAGGCCCGTGCAGCCATCCAGAACGCCACTTGCAGGCGAGGTACACGGCATCCGCTACCGAGTGGGAGGCCCCGTGGTGGTCCATGAAAGAGGATTTCTCTGTTTCCAATCTCCCCCACCCCAGCGATCATCTTGCCTGTGGATGGCGCGGTCCACGAGGAGATGACGGTGGTGGACGCCGACGCCGCCGACATTCGCCCCATGGCAGGTGCGGGGTCTCCGCTCTTCGGCGTAGCGGAGGCGAGCGTGTATCGGTTCCAGTGGCTTCCCGATGCGGCGACCTGGTGGGGCCACCTCCGCACCGCCGCGGGCCTCGCGGGCGTTGCGGTGCCAGCCTCGCCCTTGACCATCACGGGCGGCATGGGCGCAGGCGCGGGCTGGGTGCGCATCCCCACCAGTTCGGAGGGGGAGGGGGAGGAGGAGGAGGAGGAGGAGGAGGAGGAGGAGGAGGAGGAGGAGGAGGAGGAGGGAGGAGGAGGAGGAGGAGGAGGGGGAGGAGGAGGAGGAGGAGCAGGAGGAGGCAGGGATGGCTGGGAGGCGGCGCTGCGGCCCCTGGCGGGGCGGCGGCCCTCGCGGCCGCACTGGGCGTGGCCGCGCCGGCGCCGGCTGCGCTGGCCGCGGCCCCTGCCGGCGCGGCCGCGCCGCTCGCGCCCAGGGCAGCCGCCCCGGCGGCCGCGGCGGCCGCGGCGCGCGGCGTGGACTCGATGCGTGCACGCGGTGGTCCGCGACGCGGCTGGGCGTCGGGCGATGGACTTCGCCACGGCCGCCCTCAGCACCTCAACCACCTCGCAGGACGATTGGCCGAACAAGGGCCCGCGTGCCGCGCAATGGTGCATGGACCACATGCGCAGGAGCGCGGGGGGCCTCTGGGCTGGAGCTCGAAGTAAAAGGCAGAGGCTCAGCTGCCCGACTCGGGCGCCATGTGCCAGCAGCATGAGATGAATTGCGGGCCCCATCGATCTTGGGAGCTGCTGCGACCAAGTGAGATGCGCGGAGTTGGCGGCATTCGAGTTGGCGTCGAGGCAGATCCAGCTCATCGGAGAGCGGCGCTACGAGGACGCCGTGGCAGCCCAAGTTACGGCTGAGGAGAAAAAGAACGGCGAGGACAAGAAGGCCTCGGTGAGCGACGCGCTGCTCGCCACGGAGGCCGACCACTACGTGGGGGTCTCTTCCAGCAAGGGCAACCTGCGCATCGCCCCCCAGCTCACGGAGCACATTGCGGAGCAGCTGAAGCCAGAGGCTGCCATCGCCGAGGAGAGGCGCAAAACCCGCGAGGAGCGGGCGGCTCGCGCGCGACCCTCCAGAGGCTTCCCCAGGCGGGCGCAGGCACGTCATTGCCGCCTGGGGCCACTCGCGTTTTCGCTGCATTTGCGGTTGTTGCCCATTTTGGCACGTCATGGAGGCCCCTGATGCCCGACATCGCGATGCGTTTCCGCTGCCGCCCTTGTCGCTGGACGAGAGGTCCAGGGCATGCGTCGGTCGACGGGGGCGCCGGCGTGCTCAGCGAGGGGTGGCTTGGAGGCGATGGGCTAACGACGGCCTCACAGCCCTGAATCGCTTCAGCGGCCACTCGTCGTCGCCGACGCCGCCTCCAGGATTGGCGGCTTGTGCGGCGCAGGCCAGCGCAATGGATCATATTGCTTGTGTTTACCAGCAGTTTCTTCTACCTCCTGACTGTTGGGAGGATCGTTCATCCGGCAATGCTGCCATGACAGAGCCGCTCGCCTCGGCGCCTGAGTGCTCCGCGGACTCCCAGCGCGTCAAACCCTGCGGCAAGGACCTCGTGCCCTGACCTGATCCGATCGTGGACGCCTGTCGGGATGGAGACGAACCGTGCTGAAGGGTGCGCCGTCTGCTTTGACCCTGAAGGCGGCCCCGCATGCGCTGGTTTCATTCCATTGGAAAGTTACGCGAGGGCGACATCGTCAGTTTTCGTGCGGCGCGGGCTTTTGGCCCATATAGTTATAGGTTTTTCTTCGTTGAGAAGGTCGGCATGGTGGCGCTCGGGCTCGCGTTCGACACGAGGGTGGCGAATGAGGAGTTCGAGCCGCCCTCTAAGACCACGCTGCCCACCGCGGCCACGCGGGCCGCCCTCGAGTCGAAGCACCCCGTCGCGCTAGCCCAGGACGACATCCAATGCGTTTTCTCCCACGCGCTGCTGCCGACGGGCATGAGGGAGTACTTCGCCCTCCCCACAATATCCAATCGTTTTTTTTGCACGCGCCTGCGTTGCGTGGCGCGTCGCTGCCGGCCGACTGCGCGCGCTGCAGCCGACGGCCCGGGCCCTGCCGGCGGGATGGAGCTGGTCGCTGCTACTCTGCCAGAGCATCATGCGCAGGGCGCTCGTCTGCAACGGCTTCGGCGACGGCGATCTGGTGGCCACCCTGGCCAAGTGCTGGTGACGCCGCGGAGCCTCGCTGCAGCCGGGCGCGTCGACGACTTCACGGCCGTGGGCGACGACGCAGCATTGGTCGCATCCAAGAGGGGTCACATCAAAAATGCGCTGGAAAGCTGGGGGCTGCCTGTTCACTCGCTGGACGAGGCCTGCTCCGCCTCGGCCTCCGCGGGCCCGGAGATCGATGGCAATAGCGGCGCCGCGAGTGTGAAGCCTGCCAGCGCCACGAGGCCCAGGTAAGCGTTGTTGGCGGCCCTTCGCAGAACGGCGGCTTCGCCGCGCGTGCTCGAGGTTATGTTAGGACACATCACGTGGGTCATGACCTGCAAAAAGGAGATTCTGCAAACTCTGTGTAATGGTCTATGCGTTCAAGTCCCTAGAGGATCGTGGAGTCGCGATTCCTGCGGGAATCGGTGAAGTTCGAGTTGTGGCGCGTCGTCGGCGAGCTTCCTCGTCGGACCAGTCGTATAGATATCCCGCGGGCCTCGCAGGTCTCGGCCCCGGACGCCCCCCCATCGGCATCGGCGTTTGCGCCCGTCGTCTGGAGGGGCCCCGAGTGGCCGAGATCGGGGGGCAGGCGGAGAGGCGGCGTCTCCGATATACTTCAGCGGTGTCTGCGAGGGCAAACGCTTTGGACATCGCAGGGCCCCTGGGCGATGCGGAGCTCTTGGAGGCAATCGTCAACCGGTGCCTTTTTGCTGTGGGCGCGCAGGATTGACCGGGCACCGCCAGCCTGCATCGCGAGCCACAGCGATCTCCAACGGGCATTGGAATCTGCAAAATAATAGCTTGGAGCATGAAGCTGGCGCCTTGCATGATGCCGCGCGTCATCTCAACCGCAATGTAACATGTCACCATCGCCGCACTTTGCATCTCGCCGATAACCTGCCGCTGGCTCTGGCCGCGGGCGAGGGCCGAGGGCAGCGGCGCGCCCCCCCGCGACCCCTGCGTCGGCTGGCGGCCCTGAGCTTGGCCGCCAACCTTCGATGTTTCGCTCGCCGGCTGCCGTCGGAGTTGAACGCTGCTGACTGGCCCTCTCGCCATAGGTTCTCCCACGGATAGGGCTCGAAGGAAGAGGCGGCGGCCCTGGGGGCCCAAGCCGAGGGGCATCTCCTTCGCGATGACGCAGTCGCTGGACCACCCGCGGGCGGGGGACTTGGCCGCCGGGGCCATCGGCTTGGTCGCCGCGGGCGCACGACAGGCCGCTATTCGAGCTGCGCGCAGAGGTCCCCGGAGTGGACGGGCCGGCACGGCCGCGACTTCGGCGCAAGGGCCCAGCTGGACATCCGGATGGTCGCCTTCATGGCCGACCTGGCCCTGGGCCGTTTCGACGCCGCCACGGGCGCGATGACGCCGGCGGCCGTTCAGCGCGTTCTGCCTCGTCCAACGCAGGGGAAGCGACCGCCGCCCAGGGCGGCGCGGGCGCTGGAGGGCTGGCCCGCAGATGCGGTTGCCGCTGCTGCGCGCCGCGGCGATGGCGGCGGCGGGATGGCTGATGTGGAAGGCCCGCCGAGAATGGCAGCGTTCGTCGCGCTGGTCGTCCACGCCTGCCTCCGGCCATCGGAGGCCCACCGCCTGAAGGTGGGGTCGCTGGCGCCGCCCATCACGAACTCTCCCGCCCGCTCGTGGGGCATCGTCGCGAACGACGCCCTGTCCGGCCGCCCCGGTGGGAGGGCGGGAGTGACGGACGCGTCGGTGCCGGTGGGCGCCGTCGCGTTCTGGCCCGCGCTGCGCGCGCCCAGTCATGTCGACGCCAGGGGCATCAGATCGCGCACGCCGAAGTCCGCGCGATGTTCCGGAAGGCGCTGCTGGGGCTCGGGCTGCAGAGGGAGCCCCCGTCCCTGCGCGCCTTCCGCCGCGGGAGGGCTGCGCGCGATCTGTCGTCGGGGGCTCGCTCCGTGGCCGAAGCGAAGGAGATGCAGTTAATCGTCGATTTCCCAGAAGGCACGGGAAAATATGGGAAAGTGGGTGGGGAGACCGAAACCCAGAAAATATGGGAACATATGGGAGATCTTGTTATTTGTGTCTACTCATTTGTGCGCCCCAGGGCCCCTTCAGGAGAGCGGGCGATGGGCGTCGGACAAGTCCCTTCGGAGGTGCGGCGGGCGGGCGCGCGCGCGGCGGAGGGCCAGGGGCCCGCCGACGCGCGCGGCCATTCTCGAGGGCCGAGTTCCCGAGGAGCTTTCGGAGCCGATCGAGACCGCGTTCAAATTGCTTGATTGCCTCGTGGAGGAATTGAGCAGAGCCGGACTGCCCGTCAACTCGCGGAAGACAAACATCCTGACAACAGATGTCAACGTTGCAGCAGACGAGGTCCCGCTCTTCCTCGACGCCGGCGGCGGGACGGTTGAGGTTGTCAAGCACGCGGGCACGCGCAAGTATTTTGGCCGGCTGCTCAGCGGCGATTTGAGGATGCGGGGCAAGTGCAACCTGGAGCACCGCATGAAGTGCGCGTGGCTCCAGTTCCACCAACTTGCAGACGCGATGCAGAAACGCAACATTCCGATCAAGTTGCGCCTGCGTCTGTTCGACTCCGTGGTGACGCCATCTGTTCTCTACAGTCTGACCACAACGCCACTCACTCAAGCAGACCTCGACAAGCTGGACGCGCTCCAGAGGAAAATGTTGAGGCGCATTGTTGGGTGGGTACGTTTGGAGGAAGAAGCGCGGCAGCTCACTGGCAATCGCATGAAGCGCCGGCTGGAGGCGGCTCTAGCGCAACAGCCAGTCACATATTGGAGCATCAGGTGCAACCGTCAGAGAGATTCGCTGGTCCAGCAAATCGAACACGGACATCTGTCGCAATGGTGTTCTTGTCGTATGTTTGGAGACCTAGGCGAGCGCGCTATCGAGGCCGACCGCTTCAGAGGTGGACCGACTGAATCTGTGCCTGTCAGCACGGAGTTATTCGCGAAGGTCCCCCTGAACGAGATCTGAGAGTTTTCTTCCCTTCTGCCTTCCCCCTTCCCTTCCCGTCCCTCCTCCGCTCCCCGCTCCTGTCTGCCCGTAAATAAATCCATGTAAGTCGATCGCACATTTGCCCAGGTGCCGGAGGCACGGGCCAAGTTTTTTCCCCCGAGTTCTAGATTGGCACGGCCTTCGGGCCGATCGTGAGTAGCGTAGCGTAGCGAGACCACGTTCGCGACGGGCTTCTTCCCTCTGGGCGCGCCACTCCAGGCAGCGGCGACCGCCGAGCCAGCCCCTATTCTCGCGAGAAGACAGGCTTGCGCCTTGGCGTCGGCATTCCGGCGCGCTCACAGGCGGGCCCCCTGCCGTCGTCGGCCCGGTTTACCAGTGGTCGGGCCCCACGGGGCCCCCATGTGCAGAGCGCGGCGCAGGCGCGGGCCGGGTGTCCACCTCTGGGGGCAGGTCGGAGCGTGGGTCTCAGTCTGTTTTGGCCGGCCGTCGAGGATCGGCTCCTCGGCTGGAGTCGAGCTTCGGCGGTCGGTGCGTGCTAGCTTTCGCTGCCGAGGGGCTCCCGGATCGAGTCCGGGTCTCCGCCCGTCCGCTGCGTCGCCGACCTGCGGGGTCGGTCAGCCTCGGCAGCTAGCGTCGCGAAGCCGCCGACTTTTTGGATTGATAATCTCGGAATCAAACCTGTCATCCGCATAATTCGGGCGCGCGTCAAATGGTTCGGCCTCCGTGTGTTTCGAGCGCCCTGGGTCGAGCCTTGTTTGGGCGCTTCCCGAGCGGCGCCAGCTCGCCTGACGCCCACCGTTCGAGGAGGTCGATCTTGACTTCTGCCAGTTCGGACCTCCACACTCGGTCTGCCGCTTGCGTGTTCATCGGCTCTGTCCACGATCTCGGAGCACAGGTGCCGCGTGCGGGCCCAGCTCGAAGACGCGCTACTTTTCAGGTCGGCCCCACTTGGATCTCGATGGCCGAGAACGGCTAGAGGCGTACAGTCGGGGCGTTGACCTAAGGAACCCTAAATAAGGAACGAGGCCCCTTTTTCCCACAAGTTAAACTTCGATTTCCCATCGAAGCCCTAAGCAAAACCAAAGGCGAACTGCAAAACAACTAAGGAACACCGAGCTCCTCCCCAACAAAAAGGGTTCCTTCCTCAGCGCCCCGACTGTAGCGCGCAGGCAGAAGGCTGCCCGTTCCCCAGTCAGAGCTGCCGGCCAAGTATGGCCAAGTCGCTGCGCTCATTGACTCTGCCATAGGCCATGATGTAATTTTACCAGGTTTACGTTTGTGCTCTGTGATCTCGCGAGGCGTTCTCGGATTCAGTGCAACGCTTCCTGCCGTCGTCAGCGTTTCACAAATGCTCGCAATGGCCATGGCAGTCGTCTTCGGCATAGAGTAGCAACTCTAGCGGTGTGTGCTGAGAGGTGATGAGGGGCCGCACGGCCCTCGGTGCCCTTTTTGAGAGCGGCACGCGAAGTAAAAAGGGCACCGAGACAGTGGACACGCTCGGCAGTATGATCGGCGCTCAAGCTCCCAAGCCCGCTCGCCCTCGCTCGAGGGGGTTTAAACATGTTGTTGTTCGACGTCTGTGCTCTGTGATCTCGCGGGGCGCTCTCGGATTCCGTGCGATGCCTCCTGCCACCGTCAGCGTTTCTAAGATGCTCGCAATGCAAGGCAATCGTCCTAGGCATCACCATCATCTTCAGCATCATCATCATGATCATGATCGTCCTTCTCATCATCACCATCATCCTCAACATCATCATCATCATCACCATCATCATCGTCATCATCATCAGCAGCATCATCATCATCGGCATCGGCATCATCATCAGCATCATCAGCATCACCATCATCACCCTCATAATTATCACCAGCATCACCATTATCATCCTCATCCTCATCCTCATCGTCTTCCTCATCACCATCATCCATGTCGTTATCATAATCGTGACACTCCTCATTCCCTATCATCCTCCTCATCATCATCATCATCATCATCATCACCTTCATCACCAGCATCATCATAATAAGTGTCATCCACATCATCACCAGCATCCGCATCCGCATCATCATCATCATCATCATCATCATCATCATCATCATCATTGCCATCGCCATCACCATTGCATCACCATCACCATCGTCATCATCATCAGCATCATCATAATCATCATCATAATCATCGCCATCCTCTTCTTGCAGCACCAGCAGCAGCACCATCCTCTCTTCCAGCATCTCTGGGGCACCAGACTCTCTTCCCCTTCGACTCTTCTCTCTCCTCCTACCCCCCCCCCTTCGACCGCCTCCTCCTCCCTCCCTCCGCCCACCGCCGAGGCCTGGGGGGCGCTCGAGGCGGCCGTCCTCGACGCCGACCCCGGCGCGCTCCGCGAGGCGGTGGCGCACGCGCGTCGCTTCGGTGTTGACAGGCAGGCCATCGCCATCGCCGAGCAGAAGATCGAGGCCGAGGAGGGCCCTCAAGACGACGTCGCCCTCGTCGTTGTCCTCGTCGATGTCGTCGCCATCGTCGCTGAAGTCACCGCCGTTGCCGACCAGAGGATCGAGGTTGAGAGGACCCTCGATGCCAGACCGCTCGCCTTCGCGCGTCTTGCTCCTGGCCATCGTCCCCTTTGCCCCACTTCCCCTCCTCCTCTTCCTCCTCATCCTCCTCCTCGTCCTCCTCCTCGTCCTCATCCCCATCCTCCTCCCTATCATCATCATCATCATCATCATCATCATCATCATCATCATCATCATCATCATCATCATCATCATCATCATCATCATCATCATCATCATCATCAGCATCCTCACCCTCATCCTCATCCTCATCCTCATCCTCATCATCATCAGCATCAGCATCATCATCGTCATCGTCATCATCATCAGCATCATCATCATCGTCATCATCATCATCATCATCATCATCATCATCATCATCATCATCATCATCCGCATCATCAGCATTATCCTCATCCTCATCCTCATCTTCCTCCCGTACCAGCGTCGATGCCGGCCTGGCCCGTTTTTATGCTTTTCCCCAGGAAGCAAGTGGGCGCGCAAATTGCACACCGACGGTCGCAGGCCGCATCGTTTGCACCTTGGCGGGTTGTATTCTTGATATGGTTGTTAAATTCGTGCCATTTCGCTCTGTACGAAAGGTTTTGCCAAATTCCTGAAGAAGGTCATTGCCTGACCCCCGCACGCGTCACACCCAAGCCCACGAGTGCGAGCGGCAACGCTCCCAGCCGAAAGTGCGCACGCTGTCTGGGGTGGCCCCCGCGCATCTCAGACCACAGGCCGTCGAAACGCTGTATGGCTCCCTTTGTAAAAGTAGGCCCGATGTGCCCGTGCGAGCGCACGACGCGCACTCGGCCGACGACGGCCACTGCTCTACACCGTGGGACACCATTCCTGCGACAGCTCCAAGTGCTCATAGTGGGGGCGCGCATCAGGGCTGGGTTTCTTGCCAGGGCTTCCTGCGGCAGCGCCCGCACTGTATACGGAGCGCGGCGGCGATCCGAGCTGAAGCGATCGGAACCCTTCCTTGGCATCGCTCGGACGTGTGCATTTTCCTTCGGCGAGGACCATCGAGAAGCATCCTTTATCATTTGGCGAAAGCGCCACGCACGAAACCGAACAACAAAACACAGGGAATGGACGTCCGAGCGATGGCCAGCTTCCTTCTGCCGCTGTCAGCAGCACGGCCCCTCGGGGCCGCGGGCCCTGCGCGCCCCTGCGCCGCCGGCCTGCGGCGCGATGGTGCCTTGGCGCGAGCAGCCGAGAGAGTCCTCCTCCTCCTCCTCCTCCTCCTCCTCCTCCTCCTCCTCCTCCTCATCCGCCTCCGAGGATCTCGTCACGCGTGGACCCGCTGAGCGACACGCCGCTCCCCCCAGCATTACCAGCCTCGAACGTATCCCTATCCCTAGGATTGACACGCCAAGAGGCGATGACAGTCTCAGGGGTTCGCCCTCAATAGACAAGGGAGTCCCTGAGATTGGCACCGTGACTAGGAGGTGCCCAGCATAGGGATAGGGATATGTTCCAGGCTGGTAACAGCAGCACGCGTGCGCTTGGGCGGCTCCCGCACGTGCGCGCACACTCACAAGCACACACACACACACACGCAAGCAACGCAACGTTCAACAACTCCGCTCGTGGGGTCCTCCTGGGCGAGCCGCGCCTGCCTGCGTGGTATGACACCGCCTGGCGCACCACAGCGCGGATGTCGTGGCGCTGTGCGGCCCCCCTCCGGCGCCGACGGCGTTCTCCAAGCCGTGTCCGACTGGGTGGCCGCGTTTGCAGGCGCGGTGTTGGGAGCCCGCTGTTGGGTGGGCTGCTCATGGTGTTTGGGTTTCGGCGGTCGCCACTCTCTACGAGTGGGAACTCCACGGGCCGCGAGAGCGACTGAGGCCGACGCGCGCTGCACGCAACCTCGCCGAGCATCGCCACATTGCCCCCTGGAGGCACAACAAGAGGGGGAGAGGTGGGGGATGCAGAGGTATAGGAGAGAGAGAGAGAGAAAGAAAGAAAGAGAGAGAGAGAGAGGAACAAAAAAAACAATAAAGGGAGACAGAGAGACAGAGAGGGAGAGAGAGGGAGACAGAAAACAACAGTAAAAACAAGCTAGATGAGGGATGATTTGCCACCACAAGACTTCATACGTATATGAAGTCAACAAGACTATATGAAGTCAACGTGTGAGGGTCGACGTATGGAGTCAACAAGACTCCTTACGTCGACCTCGACATCCCTGGTGGCCTGGAGGTCGTGCTGGAGTCTGGGCCTGGAGGTCGAGCCTGACCCCTGCCTACCCCCCGCCACCGGCGCAGGGAAGGCCAGGAGCACTCGGTCGAGCCAGCGCGTGGCTCTCGCCACCTCCTGCGCTCGAGCATGCGACTCGGAAGCCTCCTCCCGAAAAGTTGGGCCAGCGCCTCTGGGCGCCTCTCTGGCGTGAAGCAGGAGGGTGGTCCAGGCTTGTGCGGGGACTGGGCAGGGAAGTTTGCACAGGTTTCTCACATCATGGTTCTCTTCCTCGCAGTTCCGGCTGCGGCTCCGTAGCCATTTTGGCTCAAGCACGGAAGCCCAGACGTGCTGGGGGGGGGGCCCGCGCGTGGGCACCGAGGGGCGCCGCATGTGGCCGCCCTGCAGCTCGAGGCCGGGCCGCGATGGTGCAGTGGGTATGTCCGTCCTGCCGCTTTCGCAACAAGGCGACCTTTGCGGTGTGCGGAGGCGGCGGGCCCATGGGGTGCAAGCTGGCCAAGCCGAGCGGGCTCGACGCGGAGCCGGCCACGGGAGGTTACGGTGCGGCGAAGCCGGAGAGGCAGGAGCGGGGCTCCGCCCCCTATCCGCTGGCTGCAGCCGCAGGTGACAAGCCATCGGCCAGTACCTCCGAGAGTCAGGGGGAGGCAGCTGCGGCTGCCGCGGCCCTTGCTGTCGCCGCTCGAGCCGCCGCGGCCACCTGCGAGCTGCCCAAGCTGACCGCCGGAGCTGGTGCGGGCCAGACGCTGCACCCTGCGCCCAGCAGCAGCGCCGTCCTCGACGACCCCCTCGCTCAGATGGTGCAGGCTGCGCAGATGGCCGAGCTGGCGCAGCTGGCCCAGCTGCAGCAGTACCAGATGATGGGCTACGGCAGCACTGGCGGCAGCGCCGGCGGCGGCTGGGGCGCGGGCGGCTCCCCTGCGGACGAGCGGTGGCACTGCACGCAGTGCGGCTTCTGGAACAAGCCGACCAACACGGTTTGCGGCGGCACTGGTCCGATGGGCTGCAAGGCGGCCAGGCCGGAGACGGTCGACCCTTTTCTGCAGGCCCAGGCGCTGTGGGCTGCGCAGCAGGCCTCGGCGAACGCCAGGGCTGGAGGCGCCTCCGTCGATGCAGACAAGTGGGTCTGCGAGTGCGGCTTCGCCAATCGGCTGATCAACACTGTCTGTGGAGGAGGAGGAGGCCCCCTGGGCTGCAGGCAGCAGAGGCTACGATGCGCCGGTGCCGCGAGGACACCGGCCGACGACGGCGACTCGTGGACCTGCACTTGCGGCTTCGTGAACTCCGCGAAAAATGTGCAGTGCGGAGGCAAGGGCGTGCTCGGCTGCAAGAAGGCGAGGGCCGAGCAGGTCGTTGCGGACCTCAAGCAGTACCGCGAGCAGACGAACCAGCGGTCTGTCAGCACGCGGGCGCGGTCGTGAGTGGTGACCCTGGGCGCCCCGCGCCCGGCGCACGCCCCGGCCTGGCACCAGGCGCGGGCGCCAGCGGCCCTGGGGCCGGCCCGCGGAGCGTGTCCCCGCCGCGGCTGCAAAAAAAAAGAAAGAAATCGCAGTTCCGGCTGCACTTGTCAGAGATGTGGTTTGCAGACAGGGCTGCAGGCACACGCAGCGCCGTTGGCGGGGCCTCACGGGCTCCCCGTGAAAGTCTGAGAGCCCTCGCACTTCGAGCGGCCGGCTGCGATACCTGCGGGGCGGAAGACATCCAGGACGGGGCAGCTCTCTGATTGACAAGCGTTGTTGGCCCGCCGTCCGGCGCAGCACGGGCAGGTTTTTTCGACGAGGTCTCGAGCGACGGTCAGCCGCGCGACATCACGCCGGCTGGCGATCTCATCGGGAAGTCGCTCTCGGGAAATTTTCTTTCTCCTCCTCCTCCTCCTCGTCGCACCCACCGCCGAGGCCTGGGAGGCGCTCGAGGCGGCGAACGCGGGAGGTGATCTCCCCGCGCTTCACCAGCACAGCGTCTCCGAGGAGGCCGTCGCCGAGCAGGAGAGCGCGGAGGGGGAGGCCTCTCGAGACGCCGTCGTTGTCGTCCTCGTGATTGGCCTCGCCGTCGACGTCTTCGTCTGGGAAGTTGTTCGTCGGTTCTGGAGGTCCTGGTCGCAGCGGCTGGGTGTGGCTTCTCTTCGCTCAGCCTTCGCCGCCTCAGCTCCCTCCACATCCTCCTCCAGTGATTTTTGAGATTGCCCTTGCGCAGGTCAGCCAGCAAGGCGGACTAAATTATTCAGATGTAGCAATCGCTGGCAGGCAAACGTTCAGATTCTGAATGCGTCGCTTGTCCCAGCCAGCCGAGCTGGCAACCAGCGTCGTCCCCACTTTGCGGGCTCAGTCGGCTCATGGGGGACCGCTTTGAGGGGGGGCGGCGTGTTCGGGCCCACCTCCTCATCGTCGTCGTTCCTTCTCTTCGGCGTGGGGCCCCGCGACAAGCTCGGAAGCTCCTGGAAGCTTCTCGCCGCCAGGGCAAAGGGAAGGGAGAGGGGAGGGAGCCACACCGCCTGCGCGCGGGGGATGGCGGGGGCGAGGAGCCGCGTGGCGGCAATGGAGGGGGGGAGATGCAGAGCAGGAGTGGGAGGGGCAGGAGCACGAGAAGGACGAGGGTCAGGAGGGGAAAAAACACACAGGCACAATTAATCGGCGATTCCCCCGAAAATTTCGGAAAATATGGGAAGTGGGGGGGAAGACAAAACCCCAGAAAATATGGTAAATATGGGAATCCTGTTACTTGTGTCTATTATTTGTGTGTCCTTGGGCCTCTTCAGAGGAGGTTGCCACCTGCACTTGTGTATACGCCGCCTCGTCACCCTCTCTCTCTCTCTCTCTGAATGGCGCAAAGAGATGTATCAAACACAAAAACCCTCTCTCTCTCTCCGAACGGCGATCCAGAGGGTCAAGACTAGGAAGTCAACCCATCCAGAACGCTGAAAAACCTCTCAGCCCTGGCGATCGCACCGTCGCCATCCGTGCACACAACCCTCTGCCTGTGCTTGAACAACCTCGACACTCCAGACGTATCCAAGCCACTGGCCTCCACCGCGGCTGCGTAGTTCTCGCCTTTGCCAGCCGTCATCACCTGGATCGGCACGAGCACGTTGAAAGAAACCTCAGTGTATGATCCACCGATCTTGAACAACATACTGTACAACCATTATGTGTTCAACAATGGCAGTTTTGACACATGCGTTGGTTCTCTGCCGCCGTCCATGTCGATCTGAGCTCTGTGAAGGTCGCGTCGCTCCAACGCGTTTCCAACTACTAGTTCCAAGGATGCGTCGTCGTTGTCAAAACATGCGCCTGTCAGCTTCTTCTCATCAAACCTGCACTGATGAGAAAACAACATGCACTCGCCACCTGCACTTGTAACCCTCCCAAAGCAAGCATTCATCATGCTGATGCCCATTGCTCGTTCTATCAACACTGCCAGCGCCACAAGCCGTGACTTGTATATTGCGAAAACCGACCTGCCAAGTCCAGCAGCTTGGGCACTGACACTTTCACTCATCATATGTTTCGCCAGTTTGCCACGGAGCACATTGATCGTATCTGTTGCCACCTTGTTGAACATACCTGGTCTGTCAGGGTCCGCTCTTATGACGCCAAGTGCAACCAACAATGGGTTATACAAGAGGCTACCGCGACGGTGCCGTTGAACATGAAGGAGGCCCCGTAAACGGGCGCAGTCCTGATCTAAGGCATCAGCTGGTGGCCCGACTGGACCAGCAACAACAATCTGCATCTCATCGGGCACGACGTCGCCAACGGCACCCTCGATGTCGGCTGGCTCGCCGTCGCCCTCAGAGGCGCCCTCGACGTTGGCTGGCTCGACGTCGCCGCGCGAAGCTGCCAGCGGCGCGGCGACGTCCCTGGCCGCCAGAGCAGCACCAACGGGCTGCCACAGCTCCTGGGCGGTGGCGCGCCGCTGGCGCCGCTTAGCCCCCCTGTCCAGCGGAGGCCCGTCCTGCGCGGGTTCCTCGGCGCCGTCCTCGGCAGGGCTCAACGAGCCTGCTCCCGCGAGAGCCTCCCAGCCGCCCACGTCGCCTTCCGCGAACGCAGCCCAGCCGCCACTGGGCGGCGCATCGGCCTCGCTCGGCGATGGGCTGGACGGCCCGACGAAATGCGCCCACCCCTCCAATGGCATGGAGGGGCTGGCGCCTGAGCCAAAATGGCTACGGATGTGCCAATGCAACAGAACGTCTTGGAGAATTTGCAAGGCTTCTAACACCCCCGTTCAATACAATCAGTCTTCGGAGGCTTTTGTTCAATCGATATACGGGCGACTCTATCGTTATCCCACCAGCCCTTTGGCGACAGGTGGTCTAGATTCCTCTTCCCTCTTCCAACAACCCCTCTTCCCATTCAGGGAAGGGTTTATCACTGCTCCCTACCCCGTCCCACCTGGACGGGCGGGGGGGTCGCGTGTAGTTAGTTAGAGCGCACCTTTTCGGACCATGGGAATGCTATTTTTGACGCCCCCACACGGGTCGTGGCCTCCGAGGGGAGGGGCGTCGATCGGGACGCCCCCTCTTTTCGCCGACCGCTTCCAAGATGGCCCCAAAAATGCCTTCCAAGGCTCACAAGGAGCCCCCAAGAGCGCTCCAGGACCGCTCCAAGAAGCCCCAACATGGCCCCAGGACTGCCCCTGAGGCCCCCAAGACGGCCTTAAGAGGGCCCAAAGACAGTTCAAGTTGCCTCCAAGACGCCCAAGGTGGCCTCCAATACGGCCAAGATGGCCCCAAGAGAGCCCAAGATGGCCCAATGTCTCCAAGACGGCCCAATATGCACCCAAGACGGCCCAATATAGCCCAAGGGTGGCCCAAGACGGCCAGAGACGACCCCGACAGGCCTCCAAAACGGATGTGGCTCACTTTTGGATTGCTGCTCGTTGCTACACCCCCCTCATCAAGGCAGCTCGCCTGGCGGCTGTTTTGGGGTGGGCTGGTGGGGATACGCGAAGCGTGAAGAGTTGTTTAGCCTTTGTTCAATCTACGTTCGGCTTCTACTCGATTCATCGCGCTGCGAAGCAACGAAGAACGCACAGCATGAGAGAGCTCTGGCCACACGACGCGTGCATTCACTTGCCTCCAAGACTCCCCATCTACAGCATGAGCTCGGCCACACGACGACTATGCCCCCCCTCCCCCCCGTCCCCAGTCCGACCCCCTCCTCTATCCCCTGGACTGGCTCACTAGGGCCCGTGACTCCGATAAGTTGGCAGATGGCGTCTAGATGTCCGTCGCACCCCTCCCTCTGCCAAAGCTAATTGGTCGTGGAGGAGGGCGAGGGCCCTCTTCCTATGTATCAGGCCCTCCGTCGGAAGGGGAGGTATAACGGTTAGGCAGAGGGCAGGCGATTGCGAGGAAGACAATGAGAAGGGGAGGAGGAGGAGGAGAAGAGCAACATGATGACGTAGAGGAGAGCGAAGAGCGATTTGAAGGAGAAGGTTTTGGTGCCCACTCACAATCGCGCATAGAATCGCATCCTGTTTTAAAAGAAGATCAGGCGCCCTCACAACGAACATGGTTCAATGTTTTTTCCATCGGCGGCCCTATCACTTGTCTATGTTTTGCCTATCGCGCTGTTTTCCTGGATTCTATCAACAAAAGGCGCGTGGGCATCACAACTCTTGGAGCGTCTTGGTGCCTCTGGGGTGTCTCTCGGGGCCTTCTCGGGGTCTCTTGGGAGCCTTTGGGGGGCATCCTGGGGGCCTCTTGGGGCCTCCCGGCCACCTCTTGGGGCCCTCTTGGGGCACCCATTGGGAGCCTTCGGAGCGCTCGTGGGGCCATATCGGAGGAGATCGATCAAAGAAGGGGGTTCCTTAGTTAGCGCCCCCCCAAGAGGCCCAAATGGGGCCAACACCTTAGTCAAACCAATGATGTGGGCTTCCTCGCAGAGGCCTTTTTGGACGTTCCGATACCTCGCCCCCTCCCCGTCCAAGTCCAGGCGAGGGGGTAGGGGGAGGGGTGCAGTAAACCCCTCCCCGAAGGGGAAGAAAAGGGGTTGGAAGAGGAGCCGCCCTAAAGCACCTACGCCCAGAGGGCTGGTGGGATTTACGGCAGCAGGCAAGCTGCCAGCATCAGCGCCTAGTTATCCAGCGCCCGCATTCCAGGCCACCGTCGATTCCAGACTCCTGACCCCCCGCCACGTCCCCCCCCGCGCCTTCAGAAAGGCAAAAGGCGCAGCAGAGGCAAGGGACAGAGTAGCACTGCATAGCGACTTCTGTTTCCGCGTGCCCACAGGCGCCAAACCCGACATAGCGTTTTGTGACGGGCGCGTTACTGCGAGCGAATGGGGGCTTACCTTCGATAGTTTCAGGGCTAGGCTGATGCAGAGCCATTATACCATGCAGCTTCTAGCACGTGTAGTTATTCAGTCAACCTCGTGTTGCGTCCGAGTCTTGTCTTGCCTTGCCTTGTCTTGTCTTGTCCTCCTCGTCCTGTTCCTCCTCCTCATCCTCCTCCTCCTCCCATCGTGCTTTGTCTCGCTTGTCTTGCGGACTGCCGCCGAAGAGCGGAATGTTGCGTCTGGGGCGATGACCGAAGGGCGCCCCCCCCTCGTCGGGGCGCTCCCTGGGGGAGCACTGGCGGAGCAGCGTCTCCCCCGGGCCTGTTCCTGAACAGCCCACGAGGTGCTCTCGTCGGCGCGCGGCCCTCGAGTTGCACGAAGTCGATTTACGGAGAGGACGCATGCTGCCAAATAATTTCCGGATGTCTAAAACATGTTTCAACCATGTTTGAGTTTTTTAAAATTAAACAAACGTAAGAACATGTTCGAAACATGTTAGAACATGTTTTACACCGTTTAACCACATCTTTAGTTCAATGATAGGACTGTTCGAGTGTCCATTGTCATGGCATCCACGACCCTAGAGGCTTCCCCCGGGAAGCTTTTTCACCATGGACCCATTTTTGCCGTCCTGGGACCCGACAGCGGGCCTCGAAATCACATCGTCGGGTGATGGGTCCTTCCTCGCCGCACAGCTCCGCATCCAGGGTCGTCTGGGAAGGGGGAGGAGGAGGAGCAGGAGGAGCAGGAGGAGCAGGAGGGAGGGAGAGAGGGAGGAAGAAAAGGAAGAGGAGGAGGAGGAGGAGGAGGAGGAGGAGGAGGAGGAGGAGGAGGAGGAGGAGGAGGAGGAGGAGGGGGGGAGGAGGAGGAGGGGGAGGGGGGGGGGGGAGGGGAGGAGGAGGAGGAGGGGAGGAGGAGGAGGAGGAGGAGGAGGAGGAGGAGAGGAGGAGGAGGAGGAGGAGGAGGAGGAGGAGGAGGAGGAGGAGGAGGAGTAGGAGGAGGAGGAGGAGGAGGAGGAGGAGGAGGGGAGGAGGAGGAGGAGGAGAGGAGGAGGGAGGAGGGAGGAGGAGGAGGAGAGGAGGAGGAGGAGGAGGAGGAGGAGGAGGAGGAGGAGGAGGAGGAGGGAGGAGGAAGGAGGAGGAGGCAGGAGGAGGAGGGAGGAGGAGGAGGAGGAGGAGGAGGAGGAGGAGGAGGAGGAGGGGGGAGGGGGAGGAGGAGGAGGAGGAGGTGGAGGAGGAGGAGGAGGAGGAGGAGGAGGAGGAGGAGGAGGAGGGGAGGAGGAAGCGGAGGGGAGGGGGAGGAGGAGGAGGAGGAGGAGAGGAGGAGGAGGAGGTAGGAGGAGGAGGAAGGGAGGAGGAGGGAGGAGGAGGAGGAGGAGGAGGAGGAGGAGGAGGAGGAGGGGGGGGGGGGGGAGGGGGAGGGGGAGGGGGAGGAGGAGGGGAGGAGGAGGGGAGGAGGAGGAGGAGGAGGAGGAGGAGGAGGAGGAGGAGGAGGAGGAGAGGAGGAGAGGAGGAGGAGGAGGAGGGGGAGGGGGAGGAGGAGGAGGAGGAGAGGAGGAGGAGGAGGAGGAGGAGGAGGAGGAGGAGGAGGAGGACGGTAGGAGGAGGAGGAGGAGGAGGAGGAGGAGGAGGAGAGGGGAGGAGGAGGAGTAGGAGGAGGAGGAGGAGGGGGAGGGGGAGGGGGAAGGAGGGGGGGATACGCGGCGGGGGAGGTGTTCACGCGGCCCGCGCGCGCCGCTCCGCAGGCGCAGCCGTCGCCGCAGGGGCCCCCGCCGCTGGACCTCCCGCGGCTGGGACGACAACGGCCAGGGCTGCTGGAGGAGGAGGAGGAGGAAGAGGAGGAGGAGGAGGAGGCGCACGAGGAGGAGGGGGCAGGAGGGGGGAGGAGGAGGGAGGAGGAGGAGGAGGAGGAGGAGGAGGAGGGGAGGAGGAGGAGGAGGAGAAGGAGCAGCAGAAGGAGGAGGAGGAGCGAGGAGGAGAGGAGGAGGGAGAGGGGGCGGGGCAGGAGGGGGCAGGAGGAGGGAGGAGGAGGAGGAGGAGGAGGGAGGAGGAGGAGGGAGGAGGAGGAGGGGGCAGGAGGAGGAGGAGGAGGAAGAGGAGGAGGAAGAGGAGGAGAAGAGGAAGAAGAGGAGGAGGGGGAGGAGGAGGAAGAGGGGGGGTCAATTTTAACGAGGATGACTGGGTCGGGGAGTGGTCGTATGATTGTTACCGAACGTGCGTCGCGGTCGACGCCATTTGGCTCAAGTGATTGATATTTCACGTTCGTGACGAGCGTATCGGTTTGGGGAAACGTCTTTATCGTTTCCGTGCCTTCGGATTTGCATGGTAGCGGGGCGAGGTTAACTCAAGAGCAATGGCGAGACCTGCCGCGGCCGCTGACGGGCCTAAATATCCAGAGCGTGAGTGAAACACGCCACACGACCAGGACTGGTGGTTCAACCTTAGCCTTGTCCCGTTCGCGGAGTTGTGCCAAGCTGCTTTCTACAATGGTGGCTACAGTTACGTGGAAGAGTTACGAGCCAACCATGAAGGCATGAAAGGGCTCATTGATCGACAAACCGCCACCGGGACGATCACGCTTACCAGCGAAGCGAGCTATGTCCTGCTGTTCACGGTCCAGAAAAATGAACGCGATGATGCCACATGCGGTGAATAGGAACATGTACTCCGAGAGCGAGTCGAAAATATGGAAGGTAAGGTTAGAATACCCAGAAGACCAAATGGACGCACAGAAAAGCACATTTGATCATAGCGGAGAGCAAGCATAAACCGGCGAATCTATGTACCAAGCCGGTGAGCGAGTACAAGGCCACGCAGAAGTTAATGACATTCGTTGGTGATCGAGGCAAGTTCCGGGAATGGGACGAGAAGCGCCTCGACGCCCGTGCACATGTCGATCCGAGCTACCGCAAGGCACTCAAGAACCTGAACAACAAGCTGGAGACAATGGACGGTGTTTTAAACGAGGACGAAGGCGACATGGCGAGGATACTCAGCGGTCGGTTAACGGCGGCTGAATAACAAAATGACGACGTCAAAGGTGAGTTTGAGTTCGACGGCGATCAAGCGAACAAGTTGGATGAAGACCTGCGGCGCGTCCCCAGCGACAAGCTGGACGGGGCAGGGCCGCGAGGAAAGTTGAATGGGGTTACGCGAAGGAGACTGCCTGCAGGCGAACCAGAAAATACACACGTGGTACTCGGCTGTTACCGACGTTGCCCTTCAGCCAAGATGAGCTTGGCAAGACCCACAGAAATCAGAGACATGGCGTCGCGGTTAGAGCAGTGGACGGCGTTAGTGGAAACGCTTGAGAAGTACAGACCGGCGAACTCGTTGAACCAGCCGTTCCGCGTCGCCGCGCTACGAACCATCATGTCAGGTGCTGGTGACTGGCTCGAGGATCGGTACCGGGATTATTCCAAAATTCCTGAGTCGTTAACACAGGAGAGCTATCAGAAGTTGCTTGTGACATGCATGAATAGGGCCAGGAAAGATGATGTTAGACGCGGACACGCAGGGCAATGGTGCAATTGAAATCGGAGGTGCTGACAACGTTCACGACGACAAATCGGAAGATGAACGCGAGTAGAATGGCGCAGGTTACGTCGACGACAACGGCAACCGTTGGCCAGAGGAGCAGCGGTACCAGTGGGACCAGGAAAGCATGCAGGATGAAGATTCAGGAGTAATTGCGGGCAACAAGGGACAAGGCGCCAAGAAACAAACCACACCTGGTGCAAGTATGGAGGATCTCGGGCAAGTCACAGTCAACTGTCGAGTAGATGGCGCAGGCGAAAGGGGAAACAGTTACAAGGGAACAGTATGCACCCCAGCCAAGCCGGAACCGGAACCCGAACCTGGACCAGAACAGTTCGGTTCCAGTTACACGCGCCCGACCTGGAACCATAACCGGAACCGGAACTGGTTCCAGTTCTCTTTTCATCC